CAGTTTCTACAGCTTACTGAGGTCCTGCAGGGTGGGCTGGCTGGCTTCTCCATGACAACCTCCGCTGGAGGCACTTAGGTTTGAAGTCACTCCACTCTGTGAAATCATTTCCCATCTATGGGCCATGTTCATATTCAGTTGACCCTTGAACAACATGCGTTTGAGCTGCACAGGTCCACTTAGTATGTGGATTTTTTTTTCAGTAAATATTTGTTGACTTGACTGTATTCTTTGTACTACGCCAGTTCACATAAGGGACTTGAACTTGCGTGGATTTGGGTATATGGGGGCTCCAGGAGCCAATCCCGGATGCTGAGGAAGGACTATATGGTGGTGCAGAGTTAGATCTCCTAAACCCAAGGGATAAGAGCTTGCATTTTTATTTCTTGTTCTCCTCCCCATTTGGTGTTAACTTTTAAAAGAAGATAATGACAAAAATATTACTTTTCTGTCCTCTCGAAATCCAAAGTTTCTCTCCCTCCCTGCTCCCTCCCTTCCCTCCCCCTTCTCTTTTGTGTTTGGAAGAAGAGACAGCGTCTGCTGTGAAATAAGTGGAGGAAAGAGATGTCACGAGATGAAAGCATCCGGGAGGAGTTGCTTTTGCTGTGTTCTTGCTGGGTTCCTAAAGCCGCAGCTTAGGACACTGATCTGACCCCAAACCAGGCCCGGTGCTGAGTACCTCGATTTTATTATCTGTAATCCTCGTGATAATCCTCTAAAGCAAATAACATCATTCATGTTTTATCCACGAAGAAACACGCTCAGCAAGTTTAAGAAATGAGCCCAAGGGCCCATCCCGAGGGCAGAGCCAGAACTGTAAACCAGGTTTGCTTGACCCCATCTAGCTTGGTACCAAGAACTCTAAAGACTCTAAAAAGTGCGGTTTTTCTCATGTTTTGAAAAATCTGACCTATCTGGTGCGTGTCCAGGCAGCTATACACAGGAAACCCCGAGTGCATCTTAGGGGCATTTGCTGTTGCATTGGAGCAGCTGCTGAGATATTTCTTGCCTACTAGCTCACTTGCCCTTCCAAGGTGCCTTCTTCTAGCCCTTGAATTCCGTAGGCAGTTGTTTTTTTTTAAAAAAAAAAATTCTTTTCTAGGATCTAGTAACTCACAGCAGACAGCTGGATGCTGATCTCTCCCTTATCTTCATTCTCCCAATGGAGTTGTTCCTTCCAAAAGCTTTGACACACACTTGGTTGGTGGGATATATTTCTGGCTGCACTATTTTTATTTATGATTTTTTTATGCGTGTTAATACTCAGGGGCACCCAGGGGAAACCTCCGCAGACTTTCCTGATTACCAGATGTCGCCCTTTCAGTGTAGCAACCATCTCATCACCACTTCGCTTGCCAAGAAATGAGAACAGCCTTTGCACTTGGAAAACCCAAGCTAGGACACGTGAAGCATATTAAGAAGGACCTCCTCCCCTGAATCTGCATGAGCTTTTCCCATCTTAGTTTGTTTTTCTAAAAGATAAAAACTACACAGCCATGTTTGTAGTTAGATCTACTAAGCGTCCAGGCTTGCCTAACAAGGAGATTTCACTTTGGCTCCACTTCGTTGTATGTGAATTATGTGGTAAGTAATCTTTGAAAGTGCATAACATGTCCAGCCAGTGTTTGTTTTTTTATGCTTTGGAATATTTCACTGTTTATTTTAAGTGGTGGTTTATGACTGATGAGTGTTTAACGTGCAGAATAATGCTGTATTCCCAGGCGCTCTGGGGAAGCAGGAGGGTACAATGGCATCTCAGACCTCCTTCCCTCGAGCGGAAGATGGTGTTAGTGATGCAGCTGAGAGAAAACAGCTAAGGGGAAGTTAATTCTTAGCTAAGCAGGTATTTAAATGAAGCACGTCCATCCTGAAGCTCAGGTTTTCCGTAGCCTTTTGAAAGCATATCAAATCACCCATTATCATTTAATTTCATAAAAAGGCAAGTGACAGGTGACTTCTAGCTCCACTGTGTGGAAGGCCCCAAGCCCTTGAAATGCTCAAAAAGGTCAGAATGCCCAAGTTTAATGTTCTTAGACGTCGAGAGAGATTATAAGGATTTTACCATTTGCATGAACTTTAAAATGCCACAGAACACCTCAGAGGCTGTACCTTAGATGTGTCATTTAAGTAGGAGCAAATAGAACCATATGTTTAAATGTGGTGTTATATTGAGATGTGAGTATCAAAAACACATGTTTTCCCCTCCATCCAGCTTTCTCATGAATCACTGGAGGTTTAGATCATATAGCGCACTGTTCTTCCTCTTAGAGTTTTCTGTAGGCACAGCCTCAAGTCTTAACAGTAAGTAATAACCGTGAAATTTCAATGAGCACTCTGTTAAGCCAACTTTCTTTTTTGGTTGTTAGAAACTTGGACTTTCTTAAACTCTGCCTAGTTTCCCACGGCTTATTTCATAAAATGTAAAGGTAGGTCTTCTACCTCTGTTACTACTACTACTTCTAATAATATAAATATACCCCTTGGGCTTCTCTTGTCATGTAAAATTATAATTCAATTGGAGACATTGGGAAATTATGTCTAGTGGGAAGACTCTGGACATGGCCACAGATTGTTCATATCAGTAAATTATATATACACATATATTTTCTTTTAATGTAAAAATAGGTGGATAAAAGATTCAAAATGATTTATATTGAGTGGAAAAGTACAAGTAGGCAAATGTATCCATTGCTGGGGGACTTAGCTGTTTCACTTACATCTGCTTTGGGAATATTCCAAACGCCACTGTTTGTATAATGGAAGCCCACTTATTTTGCTTTTGAAGTAGGATTATCTACCGCATCTGGGCCACACATGAGACGTTACAGGGAGGAACGAGGCGAGGTGGTATTGCAGAACACGACTGGGCATCAGAAGTGTTCTGATGTTTACAAGTTGTGTAAAATATTTAATGAAAATATTATAAAATTTCGAAGTTTGGGGAAGAGATTGCTTACATTTCTCCTATAAGTGGTAATTCACCTAGCAGACCAGTTCACAAAAATGGAATTGACCAATAACACAGTTAGATTAAACTAACTTGCAAAAGTAGAAAATAACTGTTAAAGTAATTTTTACTAAGATGTGATGGGAAAAATGCATTTAGTTGTGTCAGATTCTTCTTAAAGAGACGGAAGTCCTTGTCTAACCTCGGTGAAGGTTCCAACATTTGACAAAAGTGGGAACTTGCTTTAGGACACAGATAATGCCTGATTTTCCAAATCGGTGGTTTGTGCCTCTGATTCATACGTACAAATGATGTGTTAACACTGGGGGCATGATAGGTTGCGGGTGGTATGCAATTCCTAGCTGGTAGATAGTACTTAACTTACTCTTTGTATTCCACCTAGAAAGCATATCCACATGCAAATGAGTCAGAATGACACTGCAATGGGAATAACCATAATCTGATTTCTCTTACGGTTACAAAGTAAAAGGTTTTTTTAATGATAGTTTAACCATTGTAGTCAACTCAAAATATCTTGGGGTATGTTCTTGAGATTTGTAGATTCGCAGGACCATGGTTAATTCTTGGCCTCTGAACTAACAGACACTGATGATGGAAGTGGGAAGGTTACTTAGAAGCTAGCTGGGACAGAGGGAAGAGAGAAATGATGGAGGCTGGGCAGATGGAGAGCTGAGATTACTTACTTTTTCATTCATTACAAGTATATTTTCCTTTGTATCATTGAACATAGTTATAACAGCTGCTTGAAAGGTTGTCTGATAATTCCAGCCTCGGGGTTATCTCAGAGGTGGCACCGTTGGTTGTCTTCTCCCTTGAGAGTGGGTCACATTTATACGTGTTATGTTGAGGAGATGCTGGATCCTGGTATATTCATCCAAAGACTGTTGATGTTTTTTCTTTTAGCAGACTGCTAGCTTGATTAGACAAGAGGTGAAAACTGCCCTGTAGGAGTGACAGCTCAAGTCTTCATTCAGTCTCTTTCGTCTTTAGCTGAGACGTTTTGGGTCTGCTCTTAGCACACATGGGTTACCAGAGACTTGGGCAGAGATGATGCACAGAAGTGGGTCTTCTCTCATACTCTGCTTCCTGGATTCCTCTTCAGTTTCTCGTGACTCTGGATGCCAAGGCTTTGTCCTCTGTGTGATCAGGTCAGGAAATACTGCAGATTTTCCCTCAGACTTTTAGTTTGCACATGGCAACTGTGATCTGCTCTCCGGATAAAGCCCTCAAAAGCTGGAAATTTACCCTCTGTTGGTCCCTCGTTGAAAATTTCAACTCTCCTCCTAAATGTCTGTTTTTATTTACTCTCCAGAATCATGAGGTAGTTGTTTGCTTCCGTTCTGTCCAGTTTATATTCATTATCTGTAGAGGGGCTGGTCTGTCAGGAGGTCGCAACTCTACACCGGAGATGTGATCTTTCCAGTGGAGATTGGCATTTTGAACAGATTGCACCATTTCTTGGGCAGAGACATAAGTCTGGGATGTTTATGTTAGGAGTTGCCTGTTAGCTGCTTTTAAAATTCAATTAATTTAGGTATCTTTAGGTACCTTATGTGGTACAGGTATTTAAAAAAAAAAAAAAGACACTTGAATGACAGTTGGAATGCTTGAGTCCCAGTCCCAAGTTTGATAATAATTAGCTTCCTAATTATTATAATTATAAATCATTTACTAATTATACTAATATTATAATTAGCAAGTCATTTAAACCTTTAGCCTGTAGGTTGAGGGGCCTGGCCAGCTTCAAAGGTCCTTTTCATACTTAAGTCTTGTAAGTCTCTAATCATCTAATAAAAATGTCTTGAGGTCTCAGAGTTAATTCACTTCACAGGACTCAAAGGATCAGTGCCATCAATTAGGTGGGGGAAAGTGGTCGTGTGGTACTGGTATTTTTCCTTATCTCGGATTCCCTTGTAAACACTCCATCCTGACTTCCCTTCATACCTTAGTTCTTCCTGGGCACAAGTTACCTCATTCAAAGCCAGTAACTGAAACACATCACATTTAAAATGCGTTTTTGTTTGTCTCTCAGGAAGAAGTGCTGCAAAGGGTATAAGTTTGTCCTTGGACAGTGCATCCCAGAAGGTATGTAACACAGATGATTGTATCTTCTCACCTGATTTGTGACTAATTACTAGAGATCTGTGAAGTTCAGATATTCGCAGAACGCATGTGTTATCTGTGCATGCGTGTGTAATTTCTCTTTTTTTTGGCATTAAATTCTTCTAATGCCAATTTGATTACACATGGCGGGCTCTGTCTAAATCATCACACAGCATATACACATATATTGTATAATTCTTCTGTTTCAGGGTGTGTGTGGTCGAGGCTGTAATTCCCTAATCAGCATTTCATACACTTACAACACAACCATCCTCCCGACCTCTCTGCTTGTTTTTCATGTGCTAAACTTGAAGCCCCTTCGTGTGACCATCAGCAAACACCGCTCAGCTCAGCGCTAAAGAGACAGAGCGATGGAACACTAGGGCCCAGCCTTCAGGATGCACACCCTCAAGCTGGGAGACAGCGTGTGGCTGGCGTGGAATCAGAGAGACCTGGATCTTATCATGCTTCCATGTTGCTGTAATGCATTGGGGCTGCTCTAACAAAAATACCTTAGACTGGATGGAGGCTGGGAGACCAAATATCAAAGCGCTGGAAAGCCCAGTGTCTGGTGTAGAGCCTCCTGGTTCCTGAACAGCCATCTTCTTGCTGTGACCTCACATGGTGGAAAGGGCAAGGGAGCTCTCTGGACTCTTTTTTTTTTTTTTAAATAAAAGGCGCTAATCCCATTTATGAGGGCTTCACCCTTGTGAGCTAATAATCTCCCAAAGGCCCCCACCTCCTAATACCATCACACTGCAGGTTAGGATTTCAACAGAGGAGTTTCAGGAGGACACACACATCCAGTCCATAGACACATCCTTCTAGCTGTGACCTTGGGCATGTTATTTTTGAAACCTGAGTTTTTGCAGAAGGTATTTTGCAGAAGGTCTCAAAGAGGAGAGGAGATTGGAAGTAGGTTGAGGGGAAAGCTTTCTAGGACTTACGTGAGCAGGAGGAAGAGAGCTGCAGAGGGGTCCAGGCAGAGCACTGACAGAAAACGCGATGAACTGCTTGAAGAGCAGGAGATTGGTTTGCCCGGGCTGGGCAGAGGCGAGGAGGCAACATGAGAGTTTACTTCACTGTCAGTCGCGAAGCCAGGTCTCTCTAGAGGACCTGGAGCCCAGCCAAGCTAACTACTTTGCACTATCTCCTGGACAACCATTTCTTCATCAGTCAGAAGTAAATGAATCCTGGCTTATTGCTCTCTTTGCAAAGGACAGAAGAGTTTGTTAAACCATGGCTGTCAACTCTGAGAAAGCGAATTTAGAAAAAAAGTTAGAAAATTACTCCGCTTAGGGTGGCTTATGTGGGTCTCTCCCAGACAGAATTTCTCACCGCCAGCCAACTCTGTGAGAGCTTGGTGAGGGGGGGAAACCCACAAAGTTCAAAATAATGATGTTCTTTTATAAGCCAGCTTTTCTCAGTTACCAGCTGAATCCATGATATTTCAATTTAGCAGATACTGAAAGGAAATTAAGTTTAGGCTCATCCGTTTTAGATCCCAGTTAAAGACCTTGCCCAGCCTGATGAAAAACACATTACATAGACACCAGCATCTTTAGATGCTACGTACCGGGGTTTCAAACATCTAGGCCTGAAACCAGGCTCCCTCCCCCTGAGTGAGATATCAGCGCCTAGGATTAATGTAACTTAGAACTGAGTGTTTCCAGGAAAAGTGGTCCCAAGCGTTGGAAGCTGCTTTGCCGTGACTAACTCTGTTCTGTGGCTTTTCACTAGAACGCTTTTTACAGTTGATTTGTTTTCCTCGTGGGAAAAAGTCGGTGTGTGTTTGTGTTTATGGCTAAAGATATCTTTAATCAGAAAGGGTTCTGTTACCCAAGAAGACAAAATATACATGTAGGATTTCGGAAAAGGTGATGTGTTAGTCACGATTCTCCAGAGAAAAAGATTTATTTTAAGAAAGTGGCTCACAAGACTGTAGAGGCAGGCAAAATGGAAGGCTGAATCGAGTCACTAACCTTGCTTCCTCCAGAAACCCACAGAGTAGGTGGGGAAAAAGGTGTGTTGGAGGGCGGAGGGACGGGTCACAAAAGGCAAGTAAATCCAGAAGAACAGAGAAAAAGCACAGCTGGCTGAGCAGGGCAGCCCAAAGCCAGTCACGGCCGAGACCTTGCTCTTGAGCAAAAAGAGTGCAGAGCTGCTGTCTAGAGGTGATGTGTAGCTGAAGAAAGCACGCTTGAGCAGGGACCACACAGGCAAAGCAGGCCTGGGGTCCCATCTGTGGGGAGGAGAATTTAGCAAGGGCCGCCTTCCAGGTCGTCATGAGATTGGCGTGGTCCTTGTCTCGCTGACCCCACCCACATCGGGGGCTGACAGCCCACTCACTCCACCTTCATATGTGGCAGTGAGTGAAGTCAGGCGCTCTCCATGTCCAAGGATAGTTTATCTGTCAGCACCTGGGGAAGATAGTGCCGTGATGAATGAAATGCTGGATCTAGTCTGGAAGTCAGCGTTCAGCCCGAGCTTCTGACTTACGGCCAGAGCCCCTTCAGAGACTCATTACATATCAATTTGTTTGTAAGGGCTGGGGAAAGAGGAGATGCCCTGGTTCTTGACGAATAGTCAAGCACCCACCCCAATTTGCATAGGCTCAAGGCTGGAACAAGATGTCTAGCCATTCAACCTTACCTAACCGCTTCTCAGCATGCAGAATCAACACCCCCACCCCCACCCCCACCCGTCTGCATGCCCACAACACACAGACATCAGCCTCTCTTCACACTCCTCCCAGCCTGCCTGACTTCCAGCCTCCATGCCCCACTCCAGAACCCCTGCTCTCATGTTATGATGCCAACGCCCATCACCGGGGCTGGCTGTTCTTTGGTATTCAGCGGGAAGGAATTCCCTGTCTCTGCAGCAACTGGTAGTAAAAAGAGGAAACAGTTCCCCCGGTGATGCTGCCGCAGAGTCTGGCTGTCGAAAGCATCTTTGCTCTCTGGATGAGTGAAAAGACCAAAGTTTGATGAGGGAACCAAGGTGGGGAAAATTACAAGTGATACTTGCTTTGAACCATTGGGATGCTCAGCTCAGCACTGTCACTCATCTTACCACTCCAGGAAGACGCGCCGTGCCCTGAAGACTTGATCGCCTCTAAACATAGCTGGTCACACCACAGTTCCCCTTCAGCGGAGTGCAGCCAGAAAGTCTGTTCCCTCCCGGGGCTGGGTGACCCCTGCCCCCACCTAGTGACTGTGTTTGCTATGAGCTCACACTTCTCTTTTTCAGATTATGACGTGTGTGCCGAGGCTCCGTGCGAACAGCAGTGCACGGATAACTTCGGCCGAGTGCTGTGCACGTGTTACCCGGGGTACCGCTATGACCGGGAGAGGCACCGGAGGCGGGAGAAGCCGTACTGCCTGGGTGCGTACGCGAGGCGCCCTACTTCCCAGCTCCTGAGGAGGGAGCCACATTCTGATGCTTCTGTTGACCCTTCTTCCTCAGGGGAACCAGCTCTCAGGAGCCACTTTGGTCTTTGATTCCTCCCTTTCCGTCCTGATACTTGTTGGATGGAGCTGGTCGGTATTACCCTAAGGATCACTGCCTTTCACCATGATTATTTTAAAAACGACGGCCAAGGGATTCTTCAAGGGGTGGGTGCCAATCCGATAGGTAAGTGGCAGTGAGATGCAAGAGCAGGAGAACAGGAACATTACCAGTGAAGGTAGAACAAGTGGGCAGGAGTGTGAAAATGCAGGAAGAGCGAAGCAAGAGGAAGCGTTCTCTCCAAAGACGACTTGGAAAAGAGACTGAGAAGAGGTGTCCACTTGGCAGGCAGGTTGGAAGTGACTCAGGAAGCTGAAGCCAGCCACCAGGGCTGCAGCCGGGTTTTGCAGCCGGGCAAAACCAGCGCCACCAGCGCCACCAGCTTGTTCCGTCCCCCCTCACCCACGGGCTCCCATCCCTGCACTCCTTGGTTTTCTGAGGCAGGTTTAGGGTCTCTGTCTCCTGGGGCCTAACCTATCTCAGAAATATCCTGGCTTCTTGCTTCAAAAAAAAAAAGAAAGAAAGAAAGGTTCCTGGCTTCCCCGCCAGACTCTGAGGGTGGAGGATGTGGAAATCACAAATGTGCAGTGAAGTGTCAGCTGGAGGGTGAACTCAGGAGAGCACAGAGGGACACAGGTGGGAAATGAACGAGCTGTGGTGAGCACCCCCCTGACCCCAGAGGGCTCTGGAGAAGCTCTAGACGTCAAGTCTCCTGGCCTCTCCCCCGAGGCACCTGGGATGGTGCCCTCCCCCTGACATTGACAAGGAATGGCATCGAGACCAAGGGAATAGAGGGGGACCCATGGGCTCTCCTACAGAGGGTGGGGTATGCCCGTCTGCACCACAGTCTGAGGTGTCAGGCACCAGGGCTCTTATTTCAGCTGTGGTAACTCCGGTACCCAGTTTGCTTCATTTGGGACCTCGGGGGTCAGCGACGCTAGCATTCAGCCAAGAGTTCCATCTGTTCCTCTCTCCTTTCGACCTTGTCCCCCCTCCTTCGGGCGGTAGAGGCAGCCTCGCACTAGGTGTAGGGCCGGGGCATGTGGACAGAGGTGGGCAGCCTGAGGAATTGCAGAAGAGGTTCCAGCTATGAAATCTTAGTCTGCGGGTGACACAGTACAAACTGCCATGGGACCATCAGGATGATCACGTGCCACTCCGCACCCCCAGGGCCTGGGCAGCTTGTGCAGGGAGTGGCTGGGACGTTGTCGGTGTCCTGGAGCACAGGGGGCGCTCTGTTCTCCAGCCACACGTGCCCAGTCTGGGTTGTGGTCGCTGCTGCCACCCGTGTCTTCATCCAGGGAACAGGAAACGGGTTTGGCCCCTCTCTCTTCCCCTGCTGGGAAACTGTTCTGTTTCCACCCCATCCAGTAGGGAAGCAAATCCTAAGTGTGCACAGTTGACGTGGACTCTTACTGGTTCCTTGTTTGATGGTCTCATGGCTCATTTCCACTGCTCTTGAGGGGTCCATTTAGGTCACGGATGAGGCTGAAATTTCCTGAGGAAAGCTCTCTCCATTGGACCCATTCTGACTGTTTTCTTTTATCAGCAGTGCCTTTTCCCATCACATCTCCTACCCGGGAAGGAGCCATTCCTGGTGGCATTAGGTCACCATCGTGCTGTTAGAGGCCTACAATCGCTGAAAGGAACATAAAAACCCTCAGCTGTTAGGGTCTCGGCAGAAAATCATGTCCAGGATAGTACCTTTTCACAATGTGCTGCCATCTGTTACCTCATTTTCTCTTCCAAGGAGCCCAGCAAAGTATTTTGGGTGGGCTTCGTTACCAGATTCTGTAGTAAGAACTCTGGAGGCAGCAGCGCCTGCATCAGGGCACGTGACTTGGTGGCATCAGAGCCACAACCGAGAACCCAATCACTGATCAGTTGGCAACCATGGTGACCCTACCTGAAGTGCTCCGGTCCTGGATGGCCCACATTTCTAGATTCCTACTTTATTCCCAGCTTCGGTGACAGAGGTCTGGGAGTGTGTCCTTTGCAGACATTAACAGAAGGGCCAAGGCTGAGGTCGCCTGTTGTGTTGGAAGCGATTTTGCCGAAACTGGCTGAACATTCTCTCTGCATTTGGTTCAAACCCAGATATCGACGAGTGTGCCACTAGCAATGAGACGCTGTGCGCCCACATCTGCATCAACACCTTGGGCAGCTACCGCTGTGAGTGCCGGGAGGGCTACATCCAGGAGGACGACGGCAGGACGTGCACCGAGGGAGACAAATATCCCAGCGACACTGGTGAGTGGGGCGAGTACAGTCATCCCCCCAGCTGCATGGATGGATGGGCGGGCAGGCGCCTGGGAACCCACCGGGGCTCCTCAGGAAGCAATTGGCAGGAAGGGGCATCCATGATGACTGGTGGGTGGGACTTGGATGAGAGGCAGGTGGGAAATAGGGTTTCACCCCTAGAGCCCTGGTGGGCGTGACGTCTGGGAGCAGCAGCGGTTGTGAGCTGCTGGTGTCCTTGGGGAAGCCCTCCACTCCACGGAGGTGGTGTGCTCCTGGAAGAAGCAGTAGAACTTAGCTACCAGCTGAGACCAAACTTGGAGGAGCAGAGATGAGGCCAGAAACACTGTGTTGTCTTAAAGAGAATGAGCTAAATAAAAACAGGAAGCATTCCCACACGAGGCGCAGTCCACATCAGCGCTGCTGAACAGAGAGCCAGGCGCCCCGTGCCTGCCCGTGAGCTGTTATTTGGTTCATGATGCGATGAAAACAAAAATTGAGAGTGTTTGGAAGCTTTCAGTAGTCGTTCATTGGTATTGTATTTAACAAGCCCAGTCCACGCTGGAGAACTTCTGAAAGCAGGCCTTTCTTCCCAGAGCTTGAGAAGCTGATGAACATTATTTTGACCAGATGCAACTGATCACTTAGGGGTGTGATCAGCCTGAATGTTAGGTCATTGTTTCATGCAAGTGTGGAGAGGTGGGAGGGAGGGAAGTG